CCTCAGATCCTCAAGTCAAGCAGCCTGGAGAGGCAGTGAAAATTTTCTGTAAAATATCTGGATACTCTTTAAAGTAATATGACACAGACTGGGTCCGTCAGTTTCCTGGGAAAGGGCTGGAGTGGATCAGGATTATCAGAGGAGGTGGAAGCATTAATTATTTAGAGTCAGTCAAGAGCCGGTTTGTCATCAGCAGAGACACATCCAGCAGCGTTGTGTACTTGGAAATGAAAAGCCTGACACAGCCTGACACAGCTTCATATTACTGTGCAAACACACACACATTTACACACACACACAGTAAAGGAAAGTAAAGTTCAGGCACACCTGAAGAAGGCTCCACTGCCGAAACGTTGTGTTCTCTTTCCTCTTTTTTTCAGCATGGAATAAACCTTTTACTTGTTCCTTTGCAGCCTACGCATGCTGACGCAGCTACCCACCTGAAAGGAAAGTAATGCCCAGCCTGAACAAAAACTGATAGTGCAGAAAGAGGAGTGTGATGATATTCTTTTGTTGTTCAAGTCAGTGCAACTTTTCATAGGATATTATTGCAAATGTAATGCAAGGTATTAATATCGTATGCACTATTGTTCATAAACTATGTTGCAAAACCTCCCACTATGCACCACTCACCATCCCTATTTACTCCAGAGAAGTTTGACAGCATCTTTTCCAAGTGTCAAGGGTTTCTTGTACAGTGTTCCCTTGTTTTTGAATAGCATCCTGCTGATTACCCCTATTTTCCAGGAGATAATCGCGTTCATCATCACTTTATGTTGAGTCGAGCTCTGGAAAAGCCCCTGAAGTTTCCAACGTGGACCTGTTTTTGGATTGTTTCCGGACAATTTTCAATCACCCATTTGTTTCCCTGCATGGAGTTTTGGGCTGTGGGAAGAGATAACCCTGTAGTTCACCCATTGAAAGGGGAGACTTTTGATGAAGTTTTTAACCTCGTCACTGAAGTAAACAGAAGAGTCCGAGATCAATGGATAAAACGTAAAAGGACCTCTTCTCCCGGCCTATTCCTGATGTTGTAACAGACAAAGAAGTTCTGGATCCCGAGATGAAGTTAAACAGATGGGTTTATTGCATGCAAGGAACAATAAAACCAAAGTCTTGTTCCTGCAAGGAACAACAAAACCAAAGTATTGTTCAAAGTGCAAATCTTCCAGTTTATAAAGCCCTTT